GTGCGGTTGGCGCAGGATAGAGCAGGGTTTAGGGCTGTTGTGCATAGGGTCGCTATGAGTCGGAAACGACTCGACGGCACATAACAACAACAGTAGTGTAGAAGTGTTTTGTCCTAAAATGTGACCCGTAGCTTCTCCGCTAGGAAAACCTTCTTCTAATTGGACAGTGTGTGTCTGCCGTCACGCGGCAAGGCCGCCTTATTGGTCAGTGGAAGCTGGACTCCCGCTGAGAGATCAAGCGCTGATTTGCTTCTCCTCTAGCCAAGCGCTTCCTCCTTCCTTCCGGTTCCTGGAACTGCCAGCGCGAAGTGATCCGGACCCAGCTAGGCCGGTTATCTTGGTATCCCTTGGGAAGCTGCGGCGGGCGTGGAGTGCGGATGGGAGGGTGGTTAGCGGGGCCTGAGAAAAATAATGGCCTTGTCTCTCACTGTCGCCGCCACTTTTCTGCCCGCTCGCTAGCCTGGTGTCATTCACATGGCAGTCCTCCACCTCCCTTTTGTAGGCCCAGCTGCCCCTCGGCTGTCCCTCTTTCTTTGGCTACCACCCACTTAGCCCCGCCCTCAATTCGTCCCCCTAGGCTTGCTCTCTCCTCCCTCCGGGGGCGCCCCGCCCCTACCCAGGTGTCTCCCTGTCATGCACCACACCCAGTATGAGCATCCAGCTTCTCTTCATCCTTCCACATCCCTGATGAGAGATTTGTTTCTGTTCCCACCCTGTACCTTCCCTTTTTCTGGCAGGAGGTTGTTACTACACGCTCCCCATATGGCTTCTGGGATCCTTAAGATTCCCAGGCTATCTTTATATTGGTTTAACAAATTAACAGAAGCCTGGTGTTAGGTACAGGTGATAAAAGTTAGTGGTGGGAAGTCCCAATATTTTTAACACTGTGCAGAAGAGCCACTTTGTAATGGAGTATGCCAGATCAGGTGCAAGTCTTTAATGAAAGCAGTAGAATTAGGAATCCTAACTTTGTGTTTGGGTTTTCCCCCTGCTGTCCTTGCTGGATCATCAAGTAGATCTCTGAGGGACTAAGCTACACCTTTCTTCCAGGACGTCTCTGGCTTCTTCCAGTGCAGAGGCTAAACCTACCCTGTGGTCCTTTAGACATCTGGAAGCTGTTAAGAATCTTGTCATAGGGCCTTTCAACTAGTCAGACTTGATACAGGTATAGTAACAATGCATCCACCTCCTCTTTCAGGCTGATTGGAAGGCTGATGTCAAGAGACAGAGGCATATACGTATTCTTGATGCTTTTTAGAATTTTCCTGAAGATTCTTGCTTAATTTTTCAATCACCCAGAAATATTAGTTGATAGAAAAAATCTCTTAAGTGTGGCTAAAATCTCCATTCAGTAGATTCTTTAAGCTATCATACTTGCTCAAGTGTACATTTTTCAGAAGAGTGTCCCACAGCTTCATTGGCAGTGTTTCAGGTTGCCCCCCTGTCTGCCCCAAACTCCACTATTTGCTGTAGAGCTTAGCAAAGAAAATTTCCTTATCTGAGACTCATTTTTTACTGTCTGTTAAAAGACTCTCTAAATCCTTTTTACCAGGCATAGAAAGAAAAAGGTCCATCTCAGATCCTGCCTTTGAGAAAAATCCCATGTAATGTCCTTCCTGTTAATAAAATCTTCCCACAGATGTGCTGCCTACCCTTCAGCTGCCTGTCTAACTCAAACCTGATACATATTTTTTCCTAGGAACCATGACTACCCTGGATGATAAGCTCTTGGGAGAAAAGTTGCAGTACTACTACAGCAGTAGTGAGGATGAGGACAGTGACCGTGAGGACCAGGATGGGGGAAGAGGTGCTCTGGCTAGCGGTTCAATGCCCGCAGAGGCTGAGCTGGCAGGCGAAGGCATCTCAGTTAATACAGGTACGCAAAACTCTTAGAGTTCTGTCAGCAAGCTTTAAAACTGTCCATTAAATTTAGCTCAGTCAGAAGATTCCTGGTCATCTCTTTCTAATTCTAGTCTCACTTCACAGATAACTTAGTGTTACCATTTCTGTATGTATATTTTTTATTTTTAGTCTTTACAATACTGCACAGTACAAGTGTATATACATCATGATTAGAGACCCATTTGGATCTTCCTCAAACTATTACTTGTTTGGGAAATACATAAATCACAGATTATGATGTTGTAATGTATCATCAAATACAAACTGATCTATAGCTGACCCTTTAGAGGGTTTTCAGAGGCAGTAAATTACACAGGAAGAGGTGGCCTTTCTTTCTCTAAGCAGCTGATGGATTCAGACTACATTCCTTTGAGTAGGCAGCATACCTCCTTATCACCAGAGCTCCCCTAAATCACGGTTAGGGATGTATTAGTAGTACACATTGTTTGAAATAGTACTCTTGTATTTTTACTTCTTGCTATATCCAAATTGTTGTCAGTTCAAATCCACAGCAACTACCCAACAAAGTGACAGTATGCTATTTTCCTGTGTCCTTGCCTTCTTACTCTGTTATCAGTTTTTTACCCCACACCAGTATTTGGTGTTTTCTGTCTCACTGAACTTTGCTGTTGTTGCGAGGGTGAGATGATACCGCAGTGTTGTTCTCATTGGTATCTGTCAGGGAACTCTTTATAGAGTACTGAAGAACAGTGCTGCCAGTTGAAAGACTAAGGTATGCCTGATCATGCCATAGTCTTTTCGGTTGCATCTCTGCATCTGAATGTTGAATAGTGATTAAAGATAACAGAAGAATCAGTGTTGCCTTTCAGATGAGGTTTTGAAGAAGAGTTCTGAATATCCCATGGACTGCTGCATCGCTGCATTCTCCTCTGCCCTACTGTGTTCTGTTGTCAAACTTTTTGATCTTTGTTGACTTCTTTCTAAGAATGCAATTGAATTTCTTTTTATTTCAGTTTGACAGATGATTTTGTACCCTTTGCCCATTTTTAAAATTGAGTTTGTTGGTCTTTTTGTTCTGTGTGCTTAGGAAATTAATCAGTGATGAGTTATATTTTCTTTCATAGTTGTTTTTTTCCAATTTGTCCTTTAACCTTTATTTTTATGTACTTGAAAATATTGATAGGTTTTTTCCTTAAATGAACTTCACTACTGCAAGGTTATAAAAATATTCTTCTATTTTTGCTTAATGGATTACTCCAGGATTATAAAAATATCCTTATATTTTTTACTTAATGGATCTGTGATGTCTTTTTTTTAAACATTTAAGTATTTTATTCACTTGAAATTCATTTTGATGTGAAGTCTCTCTTACCTTTATTGTGTTAATGAGCTGTTCTAACACTGTTTATTGAGTAATTTTTCTTGTGTCCATTGTTTATAAATAAGGTTTTATCATGTACTGGCTTTCCATTTATATTTGGATCCTAGCTGTCCTTTGTAGTCCTTTTCATTGATTTGTATATTACTAGGTTATTGTTGTGTGTACCATTAAGTTGGTACTGACCCATAGCTGATCCTCCAGCGGGTTTTCAGGGGCAGTTAATCTCATGGGAGGAGATTGTCCATCACTCAAGCCATGTGCCTTCAGAATTGCTGTGCAGCTAGTTATACTACATTATTTTTATTTACAGTTGTTGTTACATGCAATGAGAATGGACTCATTGTTGACACCCCAGCAGGTTTTCAGAAACTGTAAATCACACAAGAGGAAATAGTCCATCTTTCTCTCCGGGAGCAGCTGGTGAATTTGAACTGCTTGCTTTTCGGTTGGGAATGCAACTCCGTACCCACTAGGCCATCAGAGCCTCTAATCCACCCTCATTAACATCATGTTGTTGTGTGCTGTCAAGTTGGAATTGACACATAGCTGATCCTCCAGTGGATTTTCTGAGGGGGTAAATCACACAAGAGGAGATTGCCCATCCTCCTGTGAAGTAGCTGGTAAATTCAAACTATGTGCCTTTGGAATTGCAGTGTAATTTCTTACCACTGGGCCACCAGAGCTCCATTAACATCCTGTTGTTAAGTGCCATCAAGTTGCTTGTGACTCATAGCAACCCTGTGTACAACAGCCTTAAACCCTGTTCTATCCTGTGACAACTGTCTCCAACACACCCATCCCAGTTACCCCCAGTCACTGAATTAATCCATGTCATAGAGGGTCTTCCCCTGCTGTCCCTCCAGCCTCCCAAGCATGATGTCCCTCTCCAAGGACTGGTCCCTCCTTACACCATGACCAGAGTATGTCAGACGAAGCCTCAGAATCCTTGCCTCCAAAGAGCAGCCCTGTTTAACCCTCTCCAGGGTGAATCTGTTTGTTTTCTTAGCAGTCCATGGTACATTCAATACTCTTCTCCAGCACCACAGCTCAAAGGCATCAATT